CCCGTCATTGGGGGGAAGGGGGAAAAACCCGCCCGTCAGTGGAGAGGTGGGGGAAGGCGCCCGGCCGCCGCCGGGATGGTTCCCGCTCTAATACCAGTGTGGCTGACCCGCCGGGATGTCGGTCCGTCAGGATCAAGACGAAGGGGTGAGCAAGACGGAGATGAAGATGGAGCTGGAATGGACAGCGCAACTCCGACGCAGACTCAACACGAAGAATGAACTGAAACAGACTGCAGTTGGGGATACTCCCAGCGGACTGACTGGATTGGACTGGACTGGACTGGTACCGAGAGTGATACTGCCCAGGACTGGACTGGACTAAGTAAGCACACGGCCTATGGGGTCAGGCCACGGGCTGGTCCCACAGGCCGAACAAGCAAAATAGTCTGATATGCCCTAGTTGTAGGCAAGGGCGGATAGAGGTCCGCTGCAATCTTTTGGGACACCACTTCAATGTCTTCTTGAGTCATGAGACTTTGAAATGGATCAAGGAACAAACCACCTTGTCCCATACATTAACTCGTTGCTTCCATGAGATTGGCATTTTTTACTTCGATCTGAAACACAAAAAAGGGTTGTTATAATCGAGTTGTTGATGCATTATCTCGCCACCCCGAGTATATGACTTGCTTTGTGAACTCCTACGACCTCCGGAAGAAACTGAAGGAGGAGATCGTAGAGCAAATTGCCAAGGGTCCGGACCTTGGTCCGATCCTTGAGCAGTTGCAGGCTGACCCTCACAGTCAGTTTGATTTTCACGAATATGCCGGACTGGTTTTCCGACGCTACGGAAATAATGACCGTTTGTGTGTACTCAACCATGAGCCTCTCCGCACGCACTTTTGGACTTGGCTCAAGGCCGAAGTGGACACTTCGGCATGGCAAAGACGCAACGAAATCTATTGAGACATTTTGATTAGCCTAGTATGAAAGCATTTGTTGAAAAGTTTGTGGTCGAGTGTCAAATCTGTCAATGAATCAAACCATCAAGACCGTTCCCGACGATCCTGGGGAGTATGTCTCTATCCACTTCGCGGCCATGGGAAAGATAAGTAAGAATGATTATTCGTAAGTGATAGTGATTGTTGATCGCTTTTCGAAACCCTTGTGAGTGATCGGGACCCACGATTCATAAGTATTGAATGGAAGGACTTCACACCCCACTCCCTGGCCTCAAACTGAGCATGACATCTGGCCGACATCCGGAAGCCAACAGTTTGGTTGAGGATATCAACCACACTGTGTTCCAACTCCATGCTTTAATCATTTCGGATCTGATTTCGGAAACGTGGGATGGAGAGTTGTATTCAGTCAAGGGGTTGTACAACAACTCCATCCATTCTTCCACCTGCATTACGGTTGCAATGGGAGATATGTAATCCGCTCTCATACTTGTTTCCTAAACAGCCAGCTGGTTTAACATCCGTCGGGTCTGGCTTCAGTGCCAAGTACGATCGCATGCTCAAAGTTGTCATTGCAACAATGACCAAGCGACARCAGGCAATGATCCATCATGCGAACAAAAAACGTCATTCTTCGAATATTAAAGTGGGAACTTATGTCTGGGTAAAGATGTCTGAATTTTCAAAAGAAGAGGAAGTGTCCCACAAACTTCTCCCTCTCTATTATGGTCCGTGGGAAGTCATAGACGTGAATGGTATGAATGAATTTGGCCCATCATACACAATTGTTGTGCCTCCTCATTTGAGCACATACCCAATCTTTCATGCATCAAAATTGCACATACATCGTGATGCTGCGTCCTTGGATTACCGTGAAGACATGATTCCTCGCCCAATCAAGAGCGGTCATGAGATTGGTAAAATCAAACAACACGTAGGGAAGAGACGTAATAGACAGTACCAGATTCATTTTATAAATCACCCGTTGGACGGTCTCTGTTGGATCTCCAAGAAGGAACTGTTGCACAGCGCACCTCGTGTTGTTAAAGCCTATGAGCAACAAATAGTCGATAATGTTGTACCTAAAATTTCTGCAAAACTCACTACTACTGAGCACTCACGAAATCTTTTTGCTTCGTTTGCTTACGATGCATTTGTCGGGGACTCAGAATGAGTTACTTGCTCGAAGGGACCTCGCCTATGTGTCCCCCGTGGCGGCGATCATGGCGGCCATGACCGCGGCCCGCGATCGGGGCCGCCGGGCCGTGGTCGTGGCTGAAATCGGCCCGTTGCGGCCGAGGGGAGGGGGGTCCTGGCACTAGGGGTCAGGATTCTGGCGGCGGGACCCGGGCCCCAACCCCCCCAATAATGAAAAAAAATAAAAAATATCTATAGGCGAACTCCAAAGTGCCCGGTGTAGCAGTTGGCTGGTTGTCTGGAAGTAGGAAGTCTAAGGGCAATCTAGGCTTGAATGTCAGTTGTAGACTGTTAGGACTCGTCCCGGTAGCACTGTGTACAGCGTTGTTATATAGACTGGCGACTAAAGCAAGCTTTTCGTCCCAGTCTACCTGATTGGGCTTGATGTAGTGCCTCAACAGGTGTTGCACAGCGCAGTTCATTTGTTCAGCTTGGCCATTAGCTTCTGGATGATTTCCAGAAGTCATCTGCAGTTGAGTTCCTTGTTCAGCTACAGCGGCCTTCCACAATTCACTCGTGAACCCGACGTCCCTGTCACTGACTATTGACTTCGGCAGTCCAAAGTCTCTGACCCAGTTCTCTTTAAATAACCTGATCACGTACTCGGTCTTTGCTGTTTCTGGCATAGCTATTAATCTAGCAAACTTACTAAACCTATCCACGATGACAAAGATMTGTCTCATCCCACTCTTGCTGGTGACCAGCGTATCCATGAAGTCCATGGACAAACTTTCACCCGGCCTTTCCGGAATCGGAAGGGGCTTGAGCAGCCCAAGAGGAGCCTGAGTACGGGGATTGTCTCTTTGACATACTTGACAAGTTTCCACGTACAGTTGTGCATCTTTCATCATCGTGGGCCACCAGAACCGCTGCAACAAGTTGGCTGCGGTCTTCTTGTACCCAAAATGGCCGGTGGCATCATGACACTCACCTAAAAACAAACTACGCAAAGACTCGCTATTTGGAACACACAAGCATTTATTCCCTGCCTTCTCTAGGAACAACAATCCATTGACCAACTCAAACTCGGCGGAGGTCTTCTTCTCCTCCACCTCAAGTCTGCGTATGATCTCAGACATAAACTGGTCCTGACGATAGGCTTCCACCAAAGACTGAGTAACATCGTCCGTCAGATCGAACTCAGTAATCAGCGCACCTGAGAAGTCCGGTATGCGCGATAAGGCATCAACAACCTTGTTGTACTCCCCTTTGAGATACTGAGGGTCAAAGTCATATTGCTCAATGACTTCGATCCAACGCTTGAGAGCATCTGAGAGTACCGGTTTGTGTTCTCATCCATCTCAGGGTCTGATGATCAGTCCGGAGGATGAAGAACCGCCCAAGGAGATAGTGTCTCCAATGGGTGAGAGCCTTGTACACTGCATAGAGTTCCTTCTCATAAGTAGACTTAGCCAACTTCTGAGACGGCATTTTCTTGGACATGTACTCAACTGGCCTCAACTTTGGCCCCTCCTGCTGCGCAAGCACGGCACCAATGCCATATTGGTTGGCATCCGTTGTGACTATAAACGGCTTGTCAGGATCAGGAAGTTTCAAGACTTCATAGTGCGTCAGTGCATGCTTCAGATGTCTGAAAGCAGCCTCACACTTMTCTGTCCACTCCCAAGTGGTGTCAAGGCGGGTCAGATCAGTCAAAGGGGCGGCCACTATGCTGTAGTTCTTAACGAAAGTCCTATAGTAGCCTGTCATTCCTAAGAAAGATCTCATCTCAGTCACAGACTGAGGACGTGGCCAATCACGAATGCTGGCCACCTTCGCGTCATCGGGCTTTAATCCTTCCGCAAAAATCTCATGACCCAAGTACAAGACACCGGTGCAGCCAAACTCGCACTTCTCACCATTGATCTTGAACTTGTGCTGTCGCAGGAGGCCGAGGAGTTTGTCCAAATGTGCCACATGTTCCTCGACAGTCTTATTGAAAACAAGTATGTCATCGAGGTACACGATGACAAACTTATCCAAGTAGTCATGGAATATCCGATTCATAGCGTGCTGAAAGGTGCCAGGAGCATTGCAAAGGCCAAAAGGCATCACCACAAACTCGTACAGACCGTACCTGGCCTGAAAAGCGGTTTTGTGTTGATCCTCGGGCCGTATGGCAATCTGATGGTACCCGGACTTCAGATCTATCTTGCTGAAGTACCGACACCCTTGCACTCTATCTAGCAAATCGTCGATGCGTGGTAGGGGCTCTCTGTTCTTGACATTGATGGCATTGAGGCCCCTATAGTCAATGCACATCCTAAGGGTTCCCTCCTTCTTCTTAGGCACGAATAGAACTGGAGACCCATAAGGAGAGACACTCGGTCGGATCCAGCCCTTCTCTACGAGTTCCTTGACTTGGCGGCGTAGCTCATCAAGCTCGCCTGGAGACATCCGATAAATCCTACCCCTTGGAATACTAGACCCTGGGATAATCTCTATCGCGTGGACGACCTCCCTCTCAACAACCCCTGTTGGCTCTTCAAAGATATCAGGGTACTTAGCAACTACTCCCTCAATCTCTGGCGGCATTTTCACCGGCTCGCCTGCAGCAGAGACATAAACTTAGTACATACCCTCCTCCTGATTTTACTTATAATAATTATAGAACGCGGCCGCACACATGCACCCATAGAACTCAATCAGACTACTAGCTTTGAACTTATGTAATCTGGCGGTCCCTCCACCTGGCAACGTGTTTGACCACTTTTCGGTCCCAGTCAAAATGGGGTTGTGCTACAGAGAGGTAGTACATACCTAGTAACATGTCCATTGAGAGCTCGTCACTCACTAGGAACGAGACATGATGTCTCAAGTCCCCTCCCGCGTACGGGAAAACACACTCTACATCATGGAGGTAGTCATTAACTACCATACGCTGTTTGTTGGCACAGGTCGACTCCACAGGTCGACTCAGGCGCTGCACTTGCCCCTGTAAGCGCAGCCTCTCAACGCACGCGCGGCTAATAAAGTTCCTAGTCGAGCAAGTGTCGTAATAGGCCCCGGCCTTGCGGCCTCCTATAACTACCTCGCTGACAAACATTTCACTCTTAGGGGCTTTAGCTAACGCCGTCCAAGAAGCTAGTGGATTTGATCTAGACCACTCATGCTCTAGCTCCTCTAAGGATTCAAACACATTCATCGAACAGAGGGTCGACGGGTCTGAATGTGTTTGCGGGACGACTGAAGAATCTGTAGCTTGGGCTATCTCTCGCGAAGGTGAGGGTGAATCCACCATCGCGACCCTAGTAGGAACAGCTACCATCCCTACTGGCCCGACGTGTTTCCCGGAGCACTGCCTGAAGAACTAGCAATACTGCTACCAACGGGTTGAGAGGATCCTACCGCCGACCCCATAGTGGGCGGGATCTTCTCGGTGACCTTCCTATTGCGGCACTTGTACATGC